TGCCAGAAGCATCAGGATAAGGTTCTCTGGAGGAGGCTGGCTACAGCTCCGACCCCAGAGAACCTGACTCCACTTTCTCTCTCCATTCTTCAGAAAGCGGGTTTGATGTGCTAATGAGGGTATCAATTAGGGAGCATCATTAGCATTCATTACAATAACAAGCAGGGAAGGGGGGATGGTCTTTAGAAATTTACTGCCACTCCCTCCTCTCCTATGGAGTGGGAGGAGGAACAGGAGGGTGAGGAATGTGAGAAGGGAGGCTTAGGGGCTCTGGAAGACCAGGCTGTGTTCAGAAACCCCCAGATGCAGGCCTGGGGCAGGGGGAAGCACCCTCTTCCTCCTTGGCTCCTCCCCCACCCCCTTGTGCCCCAGGTGCCACGTCACTGCCCTTGTTTACTTGCTCCAGAATAGGACCAGGTCCCCAGGCCCTCACTGTCTGCAGGCCCCCCTTAGTGGAATGTGGATGGTTCCTTGGGGTCTCCTGAAATGCCTGGCCAGACAACAGCCCCATGGACCGGGGGCTTTCTCAAGGATACTGCGCTGGGGGTGCTCCAAAACAGCAGAGTGAGCAGTTTGGGGTGTCCCAGCCATTATTTCCACATCACCCTGTACCTTCTCCTAGAGGCCCAGACACCCCTCTCTGCCCATCCCAAGGCCCACCTCCCTTTACTTGCCCAGATGTTTCTCCAGATGCAATCCCTGTTCCTGTTGCATCTTGGGGAAGGAGAGGCAAGGCTGAGAATTCTCTCCTCTGGGGTGCACCCCTATAACCTGTCTCTTGCAGACTCCCAGGAACAGGTGAGGACTGGGTGGGATGTTTGGGGAGGCAAGGTGAGTGGTTAGGATCTGCTGTTCCAAGCCCCAAACATGCCAGCTGCCCTCTCCCAACCAAATACACTGCCAGAGGCACAGGGGAGGGGGACCAGAGGGAAGTTACCTGTTGAGGAATGACAGCGGGGGTGGGGTGGCACCTGAGGCATCTCAGGTGGAGGCAGCTGGCAAATTGGTTGTGCCTGGGCACCATGCCAGCTTACAGGAGCAATTCTCGTCTCTCAGCTGAAGTAATACCTGTGTTGCTTTCGCCGTGATCAGTGGAGATGGTGTCCCCAGCCTTCTCTCTCCACCAGTAACCCCTCCTTTTGAGACCTGGTGGGAGGAGGGAAAGGCACCTATTTTTCTTGGGGTCAATGAGGGGTGATGGTGCCAGGCCATATGTTCTGTGGCTCCACTTTCAGCCTTGGGACCTTGGGTTCTATTCAGGGAGCTGTATCCCTTCTCACCCCTCTGGGGGACCCATGGAGTCAGCTGGGTGGGGTGGGTGTGGACAAAGCATCTTTGGGGAGGAGAGGGGAGAAGGGTCTCAAATGAGCTGACAGCTGTGAGGATGATCAGAAATGCTAAGGATTCATCATTAAAAAGTGAGCTATACAAATTAAAAATATTACATATATCTGATTTAAGCGCCTCACTATGGAGGTGGCCTTCATGATGAGCGAGCTCACCTTAGGGTGGGTAAAAATGGATGTTTCATTCTGCTGACATCTTTGGAACTGCTCCCAATCCCTGGGGGCTGCATCACAGAACATTTCCCACCCCACCCCAAGCCAGTGGGGTTGGGCAGGCAAATCTCCACTCGATGGCACAAGCATCTTTTCAATAGTCAACTAGAGGTAATGCCTCAGGTCACTCTCCCCACAACAGGACCAGATCCCTGTCTCCTTCCTGATTATGGCATGGCTATACATCTTAACTCTCAGCCACATTCCTGATCCCAGTTATCTTCTAACAACTGTATGGTTATGAGACTTTGTGTCCCAGGGGTTGTCCCTGCTGTGGCGGCCCACAGGGTTATGAGATGATGGTGATAGAAGACAGGCGGGGAGCTTTGGCGTAAGGCAGATGTGGGTTTGAATTTCAACTTTGCTGCTCTTACATCGGGCAATTGGCTATATCTCTCCGATAGGGGGTTGAAAATGCTCACTTCTGTCAGGCTGTTGAAAGGGTTAAATTAGAGATTATGGGTAGAGCACCTGCTGATTTTCTTCCCCTTAGGCACAAAGTGGGGGAGGGAAGAAATCTTGTTCCTTGCGGGGAATCTGAGTTGGGGGGAGGTGAAGGGCAGGAGTCCTGTGCAGTGGGTGGGTGGGGAGTCTGAATGGAGGAGCGACGTGTGCCAGAGCTCTGGGCGCCCAGCCGCCTGGGAGGTGGTGTCCATGTGCTGAGGGGAAGCTACCCCTGCCTCCCCTCAGCCTCCCCCACACAGAGCCTGCTGCCTCCCATGCCCATCCTGGGCAGGCAGCCAGGCAGGGCGCTGGATGGATGCCCACTGTGCTCTCAGAGGCCAAAAGATGGGCACCATCCAGTTGGCAGAGGGAGAGGCAGTTGGCCCAGGAGGGAAGAAGTCAGGGTGCCGGCCGCTGGGGTCGTGTGCCCAGACTGTGTGTCCAAGGACACAGCTCTTGGCTGTCTTCCTGATCTGTGCCGCTGGAGCTGGGAAGGGCCTCTCCTCTGGTCCTGGCCCTGGCATCTGAGTTACTGCAATTGGTTATTGATCTCTAAGAGGAATCTGGGACCTTGTCCCTAGCTGGGCATGTAGTTGGCTCAGGGGCAGGCCGGAGGCGGGTGGACAGGAAATTGGGAGAGCCCAGATTAAGGTTGCAACTGGGTAGACCAGGAAGTGGGGAAACCGGTTTGTCATTTGGGCCACTTGGGGTGGGGTCTCCTCTCCTGGGCTCTCTGCCTGCCTGCCACTCTGCCTGATGGTCCATAGTGAATAGAAGTACTCTGTTCCCTTTCTTGCTCACCTAAACTGCTTTTGGAAACGCCAGAAGTAAATAAAAGGGACAGGGGACTCAGCCCACCTTCTCCTCCCCAAGAAAGCTTGAGAGAGAAGGGACTGGTCAGAGCATCGGAGCGAGGGAGGGAGGGGGCTGCTGGAGCACGAGGTGTCTGTGCGGGCCTGGGTCTGGGTCTGGGTCAGCGCTGGAGAAGTCTGCGGAGCCAACAGGTAGGCCAACGAAGGTGGGACGCGGAGGGGCGGGGGACAGCAGGGTGGAGCCGAGCTAGTGCTCTGCCGGCTGCGGTAGAGGCGGCAGTGGCGCCGCCAAGCGAGGCGTGAGTAGGGACCGTCGCTGGAGCGTCCTGCCGTGGGGTCTCACTGGCCGGAGGGGCGCAGACCACTTCCCTGCTAGCACGCGCGCCTGCAGTTCCCGCGCACGCCTGCAGGAGGGGCCGCAACCCGGAGCCGGGGCCAGAAGGCGGTCCAGCAGGGGGCGCCGGGGAGCCCAGACCCTCTGAGCCGTTTCTAGGCGCGGTGGGGTGAGGGGTCGCGCGGCAGAAGCAGAGGAGGATCTAGGCGCTCCCGGAATGGGGCGGCTGTTGGTTTCCGAGGTCACCTTGGCTGAAGGGAGCCCCCAGTCTCGCCGCCCCGCCTCCCCACCCAGCCCCGAGAGCCTTTCCATCCCTAGGCGCGCCCAGGCTTGGAGACCCAGGAGTCCTCCACCCTCCAAGTGCTCCCGGTCCCTGGTCAACGTATTTGTCTCCATCGTGGTGCGAACACTACTTGGGGTGGGAGAAGCAGGTGGCGCGGGGAGGAGAGTGAGCGTGCCTCGCGCCCGGCCCCGGCCGCGCGCTGCGGGATCCCGCCGTGCTGCTGGAGGGAGCGAGAAGGCGCAGTGCCCCCTCCCCTCCCCCGCCTCCTCCGCCCCGGGCGGCCCTTTGTACGTTCCGGCCACACGCGCGCGCCCGCGCCGCGCGCGCGCCCGCCCGCAGTGACACACCCGCGCCGGCCCGCGCGCGCGCACACACACTCACACACACACACACACACACACACACACTCGCTCTCGCACACTCGGTGACACGCCCGCGCGCGCGCGCACCCACACGCCCGGCCGCCGGCGCCCTCCCAGCTGGTCCACCCCGGCGGGGCCCGCGCCCCCGGCCCGCCCGCCTGGCACCGCGCCCCGGGGCTGGGGCCGAGCGAGGAGCCCGCGAGGCGGCGAGAGGGCGAGCGCCAGGCAGGCCGGCCCGGGGCCCCCGCCCCCCGCGCCCCCGCCCGATGGGGAACGCTCCGTCCCAAGGCATGTCCCTGTCTCTCTCCTCCCTAATGTGCCTCCATGCTTAAGTGGAAGGTATTTCTGTTTTCTTTGTGTGTTTTCCCCCTCGGCCGGGGGCGGGGGCGGCGGCCGGGCCGGGGAGGCGGTGGCCGGCGGGGCGAGGGATGCTGGGGTGCAGGTGTGTGGGGGGCAGGGGACCGCTGTGCGCTGGGCTTGGGAGAAGGACCCAGGCGAGAGGAGTGCTGGGACCGGAGAAGGGGGCAGGGTGGGGAGGGCCTCACGACGCCCCGGGGTGGGGGCCAGAGGGGTTCAACTGTAAAGGGGCTTGTATGGAGGGGGGAGGGGGGAGGAGAAGAAGAAGGGGGATGGATGTTGAGCAGGGTAGGGGGAGGGGAGCGTCCATCCGAGGTGAGGGAAGAAGAGGATGCAGGGGGAGGGGAAGGGAATGGAGAAGTGAGGGGTGCATCAAAGGCCTCCCTCCCTCAGCTCCCAGAATGGGGTGCACGGGCTAGGATGGTAGTGGTGGGCCCTTTGCGCCAGCCCCCAGGGACGGAAGGGGATGAGTGAGTTCTGGGGTTGGCCGCGTTGCCAGGATACAAGCCCGTATTTCACACACCCCAGCTCCCCGCACCTCGAGGCCCTAGCCCTGGAGACCTCTGAGCCTCAGCAGCAGTTGCAGAAACTGGGGATCAGCTCCCCGCTCTACCAGCGAGTAGGGAGGGCCACGAGAGGGAGGGGTTTAGGGAGGGGCTATTTAATCTTAACCCCTCCCCCCGCAGAGGCCAGAGGGCAGGGGAGGGCGCCCCCAGCTGGGGAGGGCATCTAGGGTGAGTGAGAAGATAGGGACTGCAGGCGGCTGAGGGGTGGAGGGTGGGGCTGGGAAGGGGACGCACCACCGTGGCCCACCCTCCCCTCCCACGCACCCCCCTGCTACGTCAGAAGCTCCCGGGCCAGCTCCGAGTCCTGTCGGTGGGGGCAGCAGGATGCTGGTGGAAGCAGAGGGGACAGGCCGGGTGCCTCCGCAGCTCGGCTGTCAGGGCCCGGCGGGGCGTGTGAGGCTGCTGGTGCGCGCCCCCCAGCCCCACGCCTCCCCATGCAGCCCTGGCAGTGCCTCCGGCGCTTTGCCCTGGCCTGGTGGGAGAGGACGGCGGAGGGCAGAGCCCGCTCTCCCAGGGAGGAGGCTGGACCGAGGGACCCTGGGGGCCGAGGGGAGCCAGGTGAGCAGGCGCGGGGAAGTGTGCAAGGAGGGGAATCTTCCCAGCCCCTCTCCTCAAATGTTGTGGGACAAGGAGGTCCTGCAGCACCCCAACTTTAAGGAAAGTGGGCTCCCCGAGCTGGGGTTGGGGGTTTCTGGCAGCAGCCTTTCAAAAGGAGATGGAGGATCTGCTGTCTGTTTTGGGGAAGGGAGAAACAGGTGAGGCTTGGGAGTGAGGGAAGCTAATCAGACTTCCAGGTTTGTGGGCCTGAATGTTCCTTTGGGTGGGGTTTGAGCACTTTTTGGGGGTCGTCAGGATACCTTCTTCCCGACTCTTGGTATCTTGGTCTGCGTGACCTTGAGCCAACTGCTTTGCTGTCTAATTCCGTGCCTCAGTTTATCTTATTCCCGGTCCCTTTCCCTCTTGTTGGTCTTTAAAAAATTGATGATGCATTTGATGGAGATTGTGAGGCTGTCACCACTGGTGGCAGCTATGATGGTGGTGGTTTCTGGTGTGGTTGTATGTGGGGAGCAGCTATGGTGCATTTGAGGGGTTTTGCTGGTTCTGGTTGGTGATGGGCCACTCCGTACAGGTGTCAGGGACACGGAAAGGAACATTCACACAGGAAGGAGTTCTCCAGGCAAGCTGAGAGTTGCTGGGGACAGAGACTTAGCTAGTAGTCTGGGGTAGAAGCAAGGGATGGGGTGAGGGCTCTGGGCATAAGGGGAGGGATTCCAATAATAAGATCCACCACCACTACCCCCCACCCTGCCATCCCCACCCAGACTGCCTGGCACCCAGGCACCATTGGCAGCAAGTGCAAAGGCTTTGCCCTGGCTTCCTGCCACCCTGCCTTGGGGACAAGAGGGTCTTTGTCCAGTCCCCCCCACAACAATTCTTGCTCCTTCCGCCCTTTCCACGATGGCTGGTTCTCTGTGATGACCCTCAGGGCTGGGATGGAGGCACAAATCCCCCTTCTGGCTCCCATTCTCTGTGCCCTGGAGCTCTATCTGCAAAAGGCAACTGTGGTCCTTGGGGAGTGCTGAGTGGAGGGGGATACTCCACTAGGGGAAGGGTTGCTAGAATGAGCCTCTCAAAGAGCTACCCCTACCTTAGGCTTTCCCCTGCCCCTCTACTTGCCTCCTTGCCTAATGCAGAGGGTCTGGGGTCTTCGTGGCCTGATCCCTGCTGGGTTCCTGGCATCTTAAAGATGTGCAGAGTACTGGGTTGGGCGCTGGGATGCAGGCCCTCTCTGATGCGCTCTCGCTCTCTCTGTGTCTCTCTCTTTCTCTCTCTCTCCCTCTTCCCTGTCTCTCTCCCTCTTCCCTCTCTCGCCAGGGACCCACCCTGGAAAAAGGGTTTAATTAGAACCATTGATTCCTTCTTTGGCTGTGGGCATCGACAGTGTGGTCAGAGTTAGAGGGTGGGGGTGGCATGGCTGCCGTCTGCCCATGCCAACCTTGGCATTCTCTGCCAAAACCCCAGCCCTGGAAGTGCTTGGGAGGGAGGGGGCTGGGCTCTTTGAAGTACCCAGTTTGTTGAGCCCCCACCCCCACCCCAGGTTAGGTTTTGGGGAAAGAAGGGAGACAGTGTTGAGGATTGGAACGGAGGGAGCTGAGTTTGGGGCTCAAGGAAGAACAGTTCATGGCGTCTGTCACCCTGGGTAGCGGCCCGGGCACATGAAGAGGCAGATGTGGTGGGGGGCGCTCCTGCAAAGGGGCCTGTGGGTGTTGGGCAGGCAGGGAGTTCAGGGGAAGGATCCAGGGCGTGCCATAAAAGCTGCTCTTTCGAGGAATCCCAAGCATTTATCTCCTCCAAGCCCTGGCAAGGAGATCTGTTTTCTTCCTTCATTTATGTCCTTGAGGCCCAGAGAGGGACAGAGACTGCCTCAGAGGCCCAGCAGACTTAAGTCTAGCTTTAAGCCTGGTTTCCTGACCTAGGGACCCCTGCTTGGATACAAGCTGTTGAGGGTAAGGCTCCTGGTAGCCGAGGCTCTGGACTCTAGGACTTGTGGGGGGTTGGGGGACAGGTTGTGCCCCCCAAGTCCTGGCTGCCTGCTGTGGGTGGGCTGGTGCAGGTGCAGGTGCAGGCTTCAATGAGGCACTCAGATGCTCTTTGAAGAATACCTCATTGGCTTCCTAGGGCCCATTCGAGCAAAGATAATAAAAATCTGGCCGTCAGCGGGTTTGAGGGCTGTACTCGCTTCCCCTTCTTTCATTCCAAGCTCTGAGAAGCGGAGATGAAGGCTTCGGATTTGGCTGGGAAGCAGTGCCTGCCCCGAGGGAGGAAGGGAGGGAGGCAGTGAAGGAGGGAGGACTGAGTTCCTGGCAACCAGGGGAGTTTCTGGGGAGGTGGGCAGAGGGGCAGGGGCATGGTCCCTAACTCCTGCCAAGCAGCCTAGAACCTCGGGGTCAGGGTTCCTCTACCCGATACCTGGGCTCCAGAGTGCTCCCCTGGATGCCCTCAGTCTTCGCCCCTCCCCCATCTCTCCTCTGTGCCATTCCGTCTCCCCATTCCTCCCCTGCCGCTCCCTGCCCCTCAATTTCTCCTGTGCTGCCCTTCCTGCTGTCTCTCTCTCTAACCCTGTCTCCCTGTCTCTTCTTCTGCCTCCCCCTTCCTCCCTCTGACCGCCCCTCCCATTGTCTGCCGCCCCTTCCTTTCCCCAGCTCTGGCCCTGCTTTCGAGGACTGTCTGGAAGGTTGAGAAGCCAAGTTGGGGGCGGGGAAGTGGCCTCAGAAGGGATGGGCCTGGGTTAACTATTATGGTCTGTCAGGTGCCATAATTGTCAGAGTCCAGGAAGGGCTGCTGAGCACTTAGGGATGTGTGTGTGTGTGTGTGTGTGTGTGTTGAGGGCGCCATCCCCCTCCCCACACCACAGCGGGCACCTTGCCCTGACATTGGGCTCTTCCTCCCCTGCCTCAAACACCCCAGGTTCCCTGCTCTTCTCCCCTGCCCCTCGGATTTCTCCTTGCCTACCTCCGGCCTCCCGCCCCTCCACCCATTGGCCCCCCAGGTGCTATGCTGCCCTTGCACTGCCCCTCACACCCACCAGACCGTCTCCAGGTGCAGAGGCGGTAAGGGAGGCATCCAGGAAGCCTCTCGGCTCCATCTCCCACCCATGTCTCTGATGGGCCTGCCTGGAGTCCCATCCACTCCCTGGGGCCCCTTTGCCATGTTGTAAACCCCCCAGCAGAAAGACAAGACCCTGGTGGAAAAAGCACTGCACTAAGTCGAGAGAGCTCATTCTTATCCTTCCTCAGTGCCCAGATGTCTGCGTGACCTTGAGCAAGTCCCTTCCCAGCGCGGGCCTCTTTCCTCACCTGTGAAATGAGGGGGCGTGGGCTGGCTGATCTCCAAGGTCTCTTGTGACATTCCAGCGGTGTTGTGTCTCTCTTCTGGGTGATTTGCATATGCTTTGCATATATTAATGGTGCCTGCTTGAAGGGGGAGGGTACCGCCCACACCCGGCCCAGAGTCCCACCCACCATTCCAACTCCCCTTGCCCATTGGCCCATGCTTTTGCTGCTCCGATTTCCCAGAGGGGTGAAAGCTGGGCCTGAACATTCCCTGGGGAGGTGAGTCTGGCCCCTATGTTCCAGCCATGCTGGGGGCAGGGTGGGGGGATGACTGTAGTGGAGGAGACCCCTGCCCTCAGCACTCCTGCTGCAAAAGGTCAAAACAGAGAAGCCATGTGGTGGGTGAATTCACCAAAGTTGCCTGTGGCTAGAATAGGGGGTGCAAAACCCCACGGAGGCCTGACCCTGCAGCAGGCGGAGGGGCTTGAGGCTGTGCACCCTCCCAGGGCCTGCTAGCCCTCTGCCGGGAGCTTAGCCAGGTGTCAGAGCTCCTCCTCTGGCTTCACCTCCCAGGCTCAACCCATGGCAAGTCCTGCCCTTGTGCCCCTGCCTACTTTTGCCCATTCGCCTGGGCTCTAGGGATGTGTGTGCTGAAACCTGAGCCTCAGAGATGGTTACTGAGAAGGACTAGGTCATTCATTGCCTCTCTGGGCCCTCTTAGCTACCACACAGAAGGTGGGGCCCAGACCCCCTGCAGGCGTCATGGACATTATGAGGGAGGAGAACCTGCCACCCCAGTCCTGCCCCTACCTCCAGCAGCCCCACCTGACCTCTTGGGGACCTCCCCCAGAGCCTCCTTGCATGCCTTGGTTCCTTTTACTTACATATCTCCCCACTCCTGGGGCAGGGCTGGGTAAAGGTTGATAGCCTGGAGAAGATCATGTAGGTCACTGAGTCATGAGAAGAGTCTCTGAAGACAGGAACAAAAATGCCACCAAGGAGGACCGGGCCAGGGGAAATGCAGCAGGAGAGATCAAGGTTAGACTTAGTCTTAAGGAAGGACCATCCCAGGGGACAGATTCGTTTCTGATCCTGGAATTTTTGTGAAGATTAAATGAAACAACAGATGAAAACATCCCGCACAGTGCCGGACATATAATAAACAATCAATTTATTGTTGGGATAATAAACAATCAATTATGATGGGATAGGTGACAGACATCTCTGAACCCAGAGAAGATAATAATCCTTAGAGAAGTCTAAGCCTGAGACTTAGTTAGGATTTTGCAGAGGATGAGGACTTGGAGGGGCAATTCCTAGAAAAGCTGTTTCCCCCATACCCAGGCTGCTGCTCCCTCATCCCACCCTTCGGGCCCCACGCATGCACTGGGCTTGGGGCCCAGCCACCCAGGGACACCCTGCCCTCATCCTGTCTGCTGGGGGTGGGCAAACAGAAGGGTGTGGAGGCTGGAAACCTGCTTTTCTCCCCCTGCCTCCATCTCTGCATAGGACAGCTTGAGAGGAAGCGGGCCCACGCTGTAGTAGGAGGAATCAAGGTTAGATAGGAAGATAAACCTCCCAGCATGTGGCCACTCCAGGATGGGAGCCTCTGGTGGTATTTTTGCATCTTTCACCTCAATGACAGTGGTCTGTGAGCACCCGTAGACTAGTGTTGGACCTAGGGGCAGGGAACTGCTCAGCATGACCTTTCACATGACCTTTGGGCATCCTGAGGAGTGTGGCTGGTGTGGTTGCCAGAGTGCAGGGGGCCCTGCTGGAGAGGGATCCAGTGCTGCGGGAGAGGGAGAAGAGGAGGAGACAGAGAGAAGCTGCTCCTCTGTTCCTTAGGGCAAAGAGGTAAGTTGTAAAGAACAAGCGTTGGGCTGGAGTCAACTTGCCTGTCTCCCCTACTGCTGTGTGACCTTGGCAATTTAGTTGCCCTCTCTGGTCTTCAGTGTCCTTGGTATAAGAAAAGAGGGTGGGACTAGAGGACCTTCAAGCTCCCTTCCAGTGCTCCCAGGCTCTCTCTACCTCCTCTCCCTTGGATAATATTGCTTTGCCACATGGAGGGTGGGAAGACTGTTTCCCAGCTTCAGCTAAGAAAAAAAAATGGAGATTTGGCCCAAGAGAATATTGGAATACATACACATGTACACACGTACACACACACACACACACACACACACACACTCATGCCTTACAGACAGCCCCCCTCCTGTTCCGAAGGCACACCTTGCCTACATCTGCCCTCCCAGCCCAGGGGATGGAGAAGGGAGTGGCTAGAGGATTCAGCTGTCCTCTGTCCTCTGAATTCTAAACTCACTGTTTTCCTCCCACCCCAGCAGAACTGGCTGTGCCACACTCCATTCCATTCGGAGACAATAATCCAGTTCGGGTTTTCTTCCACAAGGCACTTCAAGCTGGTGGCTCAGCTCCCCCACAGCCTTATCCTGGCTCCCGGTAGCTTCGGCCACCTGCCTCGGTTGCCTGCATGTCCTGGTATGGAGTAAACCAAGACTGGAAGGGAGTTGGGTTTTCTCACCTCTGCAAATGCACGCATTCCAGGGCACTGGCTTCTTTTCCATTCCAGCTGGCAGAGCATGCTGGAGACCCCAGACCCAGGGACCTACAGAGGGGCCCCCAGACTCAGCTTATAGAGAGACCCCAGACCCAGAGACCCCGCAGAAAGAGCCTAGCTGTTTCTGTTTGTGCAGAGCTGGGGAGATCGCCAGGGCACGTGTTCTGCAGTCTCCCCTCACCCCTAGGATGCATGATAATTGCATACGGAGCAGACATCACTCCAGGCACCAGCCTCTGCTTCTTATGGGAAGAATGAACGAGTCCAGCTTGTTGGGAAGGCCTTCCATGGCTCCTTGAAGCCCTTGGGATGGGCCTTGCTGTCTTCTCTCTTGGGCTGTCCCCTGCCTATTCCACCCCACCCAGTGACCAGGCTGGCCTGATGAGTTCCCCATTCTTGTCCCCAGCCCCCTTATCCATGGAAAGTTAGGGCTCTGTGGAAAGGTGAGGGCTGTGGGGACTGCCGCAGACTCTCACTTTGTCCACCCCAGAACTTCTGGGCTCTCTTCTACCTGGGCACTATGAGAACTTCTGGTTGGTAAAACGAGAAGGGGCTTGTGCGGGGCTTCCTGGAGCTTCTTCTCTCCTGGAAGTGGGAGGGGCAGGAAGGGGCTCTTAGAGAGGCAGATGTCACCTAAAGATGAAGCTCAGGAAATCCCGGACCCGCCTGTCTCCTCAACCTGATGGCTCACCCCAATCCTGGTCCACTGGCAGCCTTGGGTTAGAACAGTCTGCCTCCCACTCTTAGGACGGGACAGAGACAGAAGAGAAATCTTCTCTTCTACCTTACTGCCCATAGGAGATAATTTCTGCTGGAGCATCCAATAGAAAGAGGTTAGACTTTAGGCAGAACTTCCCAGAGGCCACCAAAAGGAAGACAGCCAATGACTGGGGAGGGTGGATAGGAGACAGTTTAGCTCCTGGGTCAAGAGCTCAGGGTCTGCAGTCAGACAGCTCTGGGCTGCAATTGCAGCCCTGACAGTCATTCGCTGTGTGGTTTGGGGCAAGTTGCTTCACTCTCTGAAACTCAGTTTGTCTCTGTAGATCGAGGGCATAACAGTGGCTTCCTCACAGAGTGGGTAGTAGGATTATATGAGGTAATTTAGGCAGAGTTCCTGGCACATAGTAGACATTCAATAAATAGTCACATCTTTATCTTCCTCCTCTTCCTGTGTCTGACTGAATGATTGAATAGGGTCCACCCTCCACTGAGGAAAGGGCATACATAAGAAACCTCTTTAGATTTTTCTAAGACCCAGATCCTCAACTCAGCCTGTCTGGGGCTGGGCCCCTGGAGCTGCCACTAAGGGCTGGTGGTAAGAAGGAAGCTGGAGCTCCTGAGCCTTCACTTCTGTGCCTCCCACTGCCTCATCCAGGAAGCCCTCTGGGGCTAGACACATTAGTGAGCATTCTTAATATTTTCTCCCAGTCCGCGTCCCAACAGCTGTTTCTCCCTGGGATGTCGACGTTTTAGGTAATCGGTGGGAAAATTGGAACCATGAGATTGGCAGGGGGCTCTGAGAATACTTGTAACCAGACGTGTTGTGGGTATGGATGGGTCTGAGCCAGCCAAGGGAGGGCTGTGCCTGAGTGGGTGTGGGCCACAGTGTCTCCAGGCAAGAAAGGTCTTACTGCTGCATGCCCCAGGGTAAAAGGCTAATCAGTATTGCAGCATGAGGGAGGTGGAGTAGGTTTAGAAAGAACTTCCCTGCAGGGTGGGGCATGGTGGACAGCCGCAGGGGACCTGCCGTGGCAGGTTGAGGGTTGGGGGCGTGGAGGCAGTAGCTAAGTGAAGGACTTCAGGCAGGTCTGTGCTCCTGGCACAGTGTGAACCTATGAGTGTCTTTTGGGTGGGAAATGCCTGTCTCTAACGCAGGCAGGGGAAGCGGGGCTATCTCAGGGTTAGTGGGGAGTGGAGCAGATGGGGGTCTCTTAGGCTGGGGAGAGGGTTGTCACCGGGACAATTATGGCAAGCCTCTCTGACCCTAAAGCCATCAACCTTCCAGAATGGCATAACCTTGCATGAGGGAGGCAGGCGGGCTATCATTTGGGGTCTAGGTTGAGCACCCCAGTAAAGCATCTCCCCCTGTTTCTGGGAGGAGAACCAGGCGTGGCTTGTTGGCTGTCTGTCCTGGGAACCCAGTTCTGGGGACCCCATGTTTTCTGTGTTGTCCTGCTGTTCGTCCCCCTGTCTGTCTCGCACCAGTGTCTCTACCCCCTCAGTCCCTGCTCTTCCTATGACACCCAATCTCTATCCTGTCTGCCCTGGGGGGCCCCAGAGGGAGAGCTCCTAAGGCTCTGCCTTGCTCTGTACCTGCTTCACCTCCCCCAACCTCATGGCCCATGGCCCATGGCCCTGCCCCTGCCCCGGCCCACTTTGGGAGCCCCTGCCCCGACCCCTCCTCTCTCCAGCTCCTCTGCTGCAGCCGGGCCTTTCTGGGCATTCATTCACGACTTTCCTCCTTTCCTGTCCCTCACCCAGGGCTCCAGCGTGCGGCGGGAGGGAAGCCTCCAGGACTCTGTTCCCTCTGTTTAAAGTCTCCAGGTTAGTAAGCCAGGAGGAGGGAGGCCCCCCATGATTCCCCCTCCCGCCAGCTCTCTGTAGTCAGATGCTCCTCCCCAGCCTGGAGGGCCAGAAATGGGGAGGGGGCTATCCCTGGTGGGCCCAGCCTTTGCCAGGGGAGGGGGCAGCAGATACCTGACTCTGGGGAGGGCACTTTGGCTGGTAGAGAACATGTCTGTATGTGCACGTGTGTGCATGTCAGTGAGTGTGCGTGTACAAGCACGCGTGCATGTACATGTGTGTGCAGGCTGCAAAGCCACCATGTAAGCTGGGGCTGGGGTGAAAAGAAGAGGCGGGAATCCTCTGCCGAGGGGGCTTGTGGTCTGCGGAGAGGGATCAGGAGCAAGGGGCACCTCTTATGGGAGGATGTCCATGTTCCAGCGATGCCCAGAGGGTGGGGGATGGGAGAAGATGGGACCGTTTTGTTTAGCTTACAGTCACATGCAAACTTGTGATCTCATTTCATTTATTCAATTGTTTGCTTGTTCATCCACTCATCCATTTATTCAATAAAGACTTACTGAAGGCCAGGCGTGGTGGCTCACGCCTGTAATCCCAGCGCTTTGGGAGGCCGACCGGCCTGGCCAACATGGTGAAACCCTGTCTCTACTAAAAATACAAAAATTAGCCTGGTGTGGTGGCGGGCACCTGTAATCCCAACTCAGGAAGCTGAGGCAGGAGAATTGCTTGAATCCAGGAAGCAGAGGTTGCTGTGAGCTGAGATTGTGCCACTGCACTCCAGCCTAGGTAACAGAGCAAGACTCTGTCTTGGGGGTGGAGGGGGAGAAGACTTATTGAACACTTTCCCTGTGCCAGGCACTGGACTAGGCTCAGAGTCTAACAGCAACCAAGGCAGATAGGTTCCTGGATGCTTTGCTTAAGTGTTGAGCAAGTAGAGGTTGAAGAGTTGGAAGATTTCTTGGCTGTGGGGGCCTGTCCTCTGTCTATCTGCCCCTGCTCCCCCTGCTGGCAGCTCTTTTGTAACTTTATGTCCCTGTGGAATGTCCCCTCATAATGTGACCCTGCCAAGCAAGCAGTTACTTGGCCTCCAAGTCCCTGGTGACCTTGATGACTAAGGGTAACATTATTAGGCTGCTCCTGAGGCTGCTTCAGAGGACATCAAAGAGCCCAGCTGGAGGAGGGTGTATAGGCGGGGGAAGCCATCCCTGCCCCCAAATCTGGGCCCAGGACCAGCAGCCTGGAGCATTGGACTTAAGAGTCAGCCTGCCCTGGGTTCAAACCCCCACTTCAGCCATTTCCTAGGTGTGTGAACCTGGACGAGCCACTTTCCCTCTCTGAGCCTCAGTGTTTGTGCCTATAAAGTGGTACAAGAACACCTCCCAGGCAGCATTGTTGAGAAGAGTAAAGAAAAAGAAGTGATGGGCCCAGACTTGGCCCACAGCAGGGGCTGCCTAATTGCAGGTACCCTTTGCATCCCCACCTACTGCCCAGGGTTGGGCAGGCTGCACCTGGGTCCTATCTGGGTGCTGCCCTACCTTCTTAGGAGAGGGGCTATTTTCAGGTCCCATGTCCTCCAGCCCTTCTCCAGTTCTCTGAACTGCTATTCAGCCACAATCTAGGTGGGCCGCTGGGGGAGGCACCTTTCCTTGCCACTGTGGCTGCCGCCGCCTTGATGGCTTTTTAATAACTTTGCTCTGAGACAATCTGCAGAGCGCTCGTTTGTCTGCCTCTTAATTAAAATTACCGTTTTCCTAAAAGAGCAACGACACTGCTCCCCTCCCTCCCCCATCCTCGGCTGCTGCCGGGAGAAGCCAGGAGAACGAGGAGAGACTTGAAATTGGAGCCCTTTCTTCCCTCCTTGCTCGCGTGAGTTACCCCGCTTCTCCACACAAACAGCAGAGGGGCCAAGGCTCAGCCTGCAGGGTGGGCTCGGGCAGTGAACCAGGCAGAGGGGGCTGGCGCAAGGGCCTCTGAGATCCGAATGTTCGTCTCTTTCACCCACCCTTTTCTGGAATACCCCCAGTGATGGGGAGCTCAGTACCTTACAAGACTTACTTTCTACCTCTGCAAAAAGGTGAAGCAGCCCCTGTCCTGGCTTTATCAGCCAGAGTGGAATAAGACGTGGATGGGTTTTGAAAGAGTGCTGTGAAGGATTATTGAAATGCCTGTTGAGGGTGTAGGGGGTGGGAGTCGGGAGGAGGCCACCATGGTAGTGGACACCGAGGTCAGTCCCTCACTGTTGACTCTGGTTTTGGTTAGAAGAGACCTGTGCTCCCTCTGTGGGCTTTCAGGGGATGGGGCTCATTTAGTCATTGCTGAGTTTTGAGAAGAAAAATCATCACTGGTAATAATGAAAATACTGATGGCCAGTATTTATCGGGTGCTTCCTCGGAGTCAGATGCTGGGTTGTACACTGTACACGCGTTAGTTCATTTCATCCTCACAACTGTCCTGTGAGCTCACTGCTGCTGACTGTTTTGTGGGAGAAGAGACAGACAGACCTGAGGGGTTAAGTAGCATGCCTGAGGTCAGAGAGAGAGTCCCAGTCTCTAGCAGGGTAGCCTCAGCCCTACACCCTCCCTTCCACCCCCCGCACCTCACCTGAAGCTTTGTGTGGGTCTCACCCCATTCCCTGGTGCACCTTTGCCTCCCTCTGCACTCCGGCAGCAGGGCTCCTCTGGCCCAACGCCGTGGAGAATTCACGCTAAGATTCATCACCTTCCTCCCCCACCCTGTTCCTCCTGAGGAGTCCGTGCTGCAGCCAGGTGGGGGCCCCAGCAGCTCCCTCGGGTCTGGCCTCTTCCCCTGTGGTCCTTTGCCTCCGCGGCTCGGCTCCTCTTCATCACCTCCCATTCCTGCTCCTCCCTGAAATGCCCTTCCCCACAACCGCCTCTGGGCTCGCCCTTCCGATCTCCCAGAGCACTGTTAAACCTCTGGTGGCTCCTAATGTAACCTTTCTTGAACAGTCACCAGTTCTGGACATAACTAAGCCCATTAACCTACTTTTGCTTGTGGGGGCAGCAAACTCAGTACCTTCAAGGGCAGCAAATGAGGGAAGCGATGCATGAGGATGATAGGGAATGGTGGGGACGGTGGTGAGGAGAGGGGTGCCTTCCTGCCTCTGCAGCCCGCCCTTCCTTACCTCACTTCCTGTGCTCCTTAGAGGTATTAAAATGCAAAGAAATAAAACAAAATACCATTAGCCATCCCTGCCTCCCGACAAAAAAAAAAAGCCTGTGCCTCAGTGTAGCCACAGTGTGATCCTTGCTAAATCATCTCATTCATCTTGGCATCCCCATATTGCCTAACACATTAAAGTAACTGTGTATGAATTGCTTGTTGAATGACTACATGACCACACATGTGCCAGGCACTGTGCTGTTACACACCTTATTTCTTCCCGTCTTCACAAGGGAGGCGCTGTTTTCTCCATTTTGCCATTGGGGAAACTGAGGCCTGGAGGACTGAAATGATTTGTTCAAGGTCACACGTATGGCAAGTGCCCAAGGTGAGATTTGAGCCTTGACTTGCTGTGTCCTTCTGCCTGTTCTGTTTGGTCATGGGGATGCATACATGGGACACATGGCACCTGATTTCAGTACCTGCCCTGGGTAACAGGGAGCACTTGTGTGGCTGGTGACCACCTGGTTGAAGTGCACTGCTCACCTTGGGGAGGCAGGGCGGGGAAGTGAGGACTGTAGAAGCAGGAAAGGTGCAGATGCCCCTCACCCCAGCACGCCCCTCCTCCCTCAGCTTCCGGTCCCATCCCAGCAGCCTGGGGATGGTGGCGTGGTGACAGGTGCTGAGCTGCAGAGATGACGGCACTGCTGATTCCCCCATAATTACTGTCTGATGAGACACCAGAATTAGCCACTGTGTGAGCATGGGATGCAGACATGGGGCACTTGCAGGGAAGCAGCTGAGGGTGAGGGAGCCTTTCCTTCCAAGCCTGGGGCCCTCTGGCAGCAGAGCAGGGAGGAGGAAGTAGGTTAGCAAGGAGGAAGCACTGTGTGGTTAATATGCCTCAGATATTATCATGTGGGCTTGTGGTTTTCCAGTTCTCAGAGTGACTGGCTGCCAGACAGGGGCATCCTGGGCCTCAGGCCACTAGCCCGAGGATTCCAGGCAGAGCAGGCTGCCCCCTCAGACTCCCGGGCACACCCTTTGGTGTCTAGAGCTGGGGCTCTGAGGAACATAGTTGCTGGGAGATGCTGAGATTCAGACCAGACCCCTTGAGTGACATTAGCAAGGCCAGGCACCAGAAGGTGAATGGAAGTGACTGGAAGGAGCAGTTTCAGCCGACTGGGCCAGGAACTTCACCCCTCCCAGGAGGCAAGAGTCAGGCTGGCCCCTGAGGTCTAAGGCTGGGGGAGGCCTGAGAGTTAGGAGCAGGGGGCGAGGAAGGTATGTTCTGGCCCTGGAACAGGGCTCTTAGGCCCTGAGCATTTGTTTTTCCTGGCACACGTGCTGTGTGGGCAGGAGGGGCACTTGCGAAGACACTTTAGTAACAGAAGCAGACAGGAGTCACCTGTGCTGCTCAGACCTCATCTGGACCATTAGAGCAGTTCTGAAGGCCACCAGCCAAGAGAGGTGGTGACACAGGGCTTACCCAACAAAGGGCAGTACAGATGGCCAGCAGGGCTGGGCCACACAGGAAAGACCTGAGGGCTCATGACAGAAGGTTCTGGTTCAGGAGCCTCCACTCTGCTCCAAAGAGAGAGGTCATGACCTTCCCCCAGGTTCCCCTGAGGGCCATGGGCACAGACTGTGGCTCATTTTAAGGAAGGAGAAACCCCACAAGATGATTGGTGCTTTGGATGTAATGAGTTCTCCATTCCTGGAAGTATCCAAGACCTGACTGGCTGGAGCTCCTGATTTACAGTTCTGTCTCTGCACAGCCTGTGGTAGGGGCTGGGAGGGCTTCATATCCAGCGCAGGTACAAGAAGGCTGCGAGGAGGTCTGTGGAAAGGTGGGTCCCCCAGAAGGTCTTTCAGGACTGTGGGACCCCCACTTCCAGCCT